AAACGACTCAAATTAAAAAAAGAGCTACATCATACGTTTAAAAAACAATCAAACAATCGATGTAAATAGAAACGAATATTGTACAGGATATAGATAAACTAACATAATATGTTACGCTATGTTTGTTACGCTGTTGTTTGATATTATCGCTGATAAAGACTAGGTCAGGATTGTAACCTCGCCGCCATTTTCTGCTATTGAAAGATGCCTGAAGCTTAGTATCATGGATTAAAGACATTGAGATACTCTCAATAAATGAATCAACCCTCTTCCCGTCTGTATTTGCTTCGCCGTTGCCCCGCGACACACTGTGACTGTTAAAGTCTCCAATAATAACCCTTGATTTGGGTTGAGAGGTCTTATTTATTGGGAGGTTTATACAGCGACGTGACTGCGAGATTTTCGAACACGACAGTAAGTGTCTCGATGTTATTGGCATCTGACTAAAAGGAACTTCCCAATGCCATATTTTTCCTGGTGAAAGCTGCACTGCCATATTGCTCGTGTGGTCGTTCGGTTATCAGGGTTATACCCGATATATAAGATCTAGCATCCGTAGGGTCTCGGTGTATTTCTTGTAGGCATAGTACTGAAAATCTAAAAATATCTGCTGAAAATGTCTATTCGAAAATATTGATGAAACACACCAACAACTATACGGAAAAGATGTTGCCCAGAATATCAGGGAATACAAAAAAACATCGACAAAAATAATTAATCAAACAAATAGAAGAATATTCCTGTTGAGATGTAAACACGAAAATTTAAAACACACCTTTTTGAATTTTAAAACTTCACACATTCTTTTTCAGGATGTAAACCTTGAACGTAAATTTAATTGTTATCTGTTAAGTAACTTCATATTTGCAGTTTTAAACTTGTTAATTTCAGACACTTCAATGTATCTTAAAAAGCTAGAAAATAAATTAAGTAATTTAGAGGAGAATCTCAAGAAGAAGATACCACTTAGTACTTTCGAAAAATTTAAAACTGTGTCTATTGCCAATAACGAAAAACTGTTTCAAAACATAAAATTAAAAAAACCAGAAAAAAATTCAAAACCTCTTGGAAAAAAACAAAAAAACCAGTAAAGCAAATAGTGTTAAAAATTCTGGAACTGTGTGTGGCTGGATTGAAAATTTAACAAATACTGCCATTCCTGATTATGCTAATAATGTTTTGAGTTATGTACCTAACTTTGCCATGGAAATTGTGAATAAAAAACAACTACCTACAAAAGATATCATAAGTAATGTAGAAACGGGCTTTCAACACCTTACAAATAATCAAAAAGATGAAATAAGAAGTAAAACTAGTAACATTATTTCAAATTTTAAAAACAAAATAGAAAACCGAAAGAAAAATACAGAAATGCACAAAAATCTCTATAAAACAAAAAACTTTCTTAACCAAAATTCTCATTTAAAAATTCTAAAAGCTGACAAAAGTAACAAAACGGTAATAATGACGTCACTTGACTATAATAAAAAAATGAAACAACTATTAAATGATAAAAAAACATATAAACAAATCAAGCGTGACCTAATAAACACACAGCAAATTAAAAATAACGAATTAATCGATAAATGGGAGAATAACCAATATATTTCACCCAATGTTGCAAAAGGGCTAAAAATTCGCAATGTTATCCCACCAAAAATATACGGACTCCCTAAATTATATAAAGAAGGCATCCCATTGCGCCCCATTGTTTCATGTACCCAGTCACCATTTTACTCACTTTCAAAATATCTCAAAAATATACTTAACAATATAATATACAAAAACGATTATTATCTAAAAGATTCTTTTCAATTCAAAGAAAAACTAAAAAATATTAAAATTCCAAAAGATTATGTACTTGTCTCACTAGACGTTGTATCTTTATACACTAATGTTCCAATAGCTCTAGCACTAAAAATCATTAAAAATAAGTGGAATAACATCAAAAAATATACTGACATCCCCTTAGACGAGTTTATAAGCGCAACTGAACTCACATTAAATTCAACTTTTTTTCAATACGAAAATGAACTTTATAAACAAATACAGGGTTGCGCAATGGGTGCTTCGATTTCAAGTGCAGTAGCATAAATAGTAATGGAGGACTTAGAGGAAACAGTACTCTCAAAAATCACCTATTCGATACCGTTTTTCTTTAGATTTGTTGACGATTGTATAATGGCAGTCCCAAAAAATCAAGTTGAAAATATCTTAACAATATTTAATTCTTATCATAAAAATTTACAATTTACCATCGAAATTGAACAAGAAAATAAAATAAACTTCCTTGATTTAACATTACATCACATAAATGGAAACATTAGAACCGAATGGTATACCAAAAAATCATGGTCTTCTCGTTATTTAAATTATAATTCTCATCATCACATAAACCAAAAAAAATCTGTAATTATAGGGCTAGCAGAATGCTCTTAAATTAAATAGCTACCCACATGACATAATCAATAACATTTTTAAAAAACGAATTCACAAATTTTACAACTCACACCAACATAGTAAACCTATAAATAAGGACAATAAAAAATACATTTCTAACCCTTTTGTAAACGGACTGTCACAACAAATAAAACATTTACTTGGTAGTTATAATCTCAATGTATGTCACAAATCACACAATTTATTGGCGAGTAATTTTTCAAGGCTCAAGACAAAAACACCGAAAAACAAAAAAAGCAATCTAATTTACGAAATACCCTGCAAAAATTGCAGTGGAGTTTATATAGGACAAACCAGTCAGTATCTTGAAAACCGTTTAAAAGGTCATAAATACGACAAGAAAAATAAAACAGCCCTAACTTTGCATGAAATCCAAGAAAATCACAGTTTTTACTTCGAAAGTACAAAAATAATTGGCACCGAATATAACACCAGAAAAAGAGAAATTCTTGGATCTATTGCTATCCAAAAAAACAACACTCTGTTAATGATAGTAGGGATTTAAAGAACCTGAGTAAAACATATTATTCAGTGTTGTAAAATCCATTTCAATGTGTATGTCTCTTTACAAAAATTGTGACGACTGTATCGATATGTTTATGTTATGTGTGTGGATGCCAATGTTGGATGTTGGATTATTTTCTTCGCTAAGGTAGGCTTTTTATATTTTTTTTTCTCTCACGCCACCTTATAAAAATTGATTTCAGAATGAAAATGATAAAATTGGAAAAAGAAAACAATAAAAATTAAAATAAAAACTAAAACAATGCGCCGAAATCTACTTTCAAGGTAACAAAATAGAATTTTTATTGTAGCTAAATGGACGTTCATAATGTGACTGTTTTTTTTTTAGTAATAAATTTTGATAAAGACCCTACCAGGTCGAAACGTCAATGAAATTTATAATATAAAAAAAAACGTTTTTCTCATTGTTTACCTGACCTAAAGCCAAGAAAAAATTAAATAAAATATTGATATATATATTAATACAAATAAAAAGTAAAGTAAAGTAAAGATTTCAGATAACGTCTTCTTTTTGCTGCCAGGGCTCATCTGGACGGGGCCTACTTTGTTTACGCGTAATCCGAACCGCGGTCCTCGGCCATATCATGGTCAATGGTCTACCGACTTGGCATGTGTCGAAATCAACTCTTACACACGAGATATCCGATCTCATCCGGCCTCGAACCGGCGTGAATGAGCAGTGTGTGCCAATAGATTTTACACTTTTGCCTTTATTAGACAACAGCACGACACATAGTTTCGAATCGGTCACCCGTCCATCCACTAGTATCGCCTTACGTCGCTTAACTTCGGTGTTCTAATGAGAACCGGTGTTTCGACGTAGCTGGGCCGTTGGCTACTAATAGAAAGTATTGATACTGAAGCTATTGAATGGAATGCTTGAATAGATTGAGTGGAATTATTTTTTTAGATGGAATACCCTGTATATTATTGCATTTTTGGATTCTTTTCAGATCATTTTATATGATCCTAAGAGAGAAAATATATTTCGATAGTTTTAGAGATAAATAATTAAAAAATATATTATTATATTATTTTCAGCCTTTCTTAAAGATATTAATAAAAATACAAGAACTGTCCTGAAATAAGAAAATATATTAGGTATTTACTTTACATGGTCTGTACTTACTTTGCTATAAATATGGTAGTGGTAAATCATACAGGATGTCTAAAATTCTACGCCAAACTTTCTTAGTTTTTTTTAATGGAACATCCTGTAAACTATTTTTCAATAGATGGAGAACTAAAAACTGAACATTTTTTGTATGTAAAGAGTATTGCAAAATTTTTAACAGTTTCTCAGATATTCGCAGTTTTATATTTCATATGGCATTTTCCACAGTAAATTTTTATCAAAACTACCCAATTATTCTTGCATATTACCGTTGAAAGAGCCATATCAAATAGTACTTCGTGTACTATATACAAAGCCCTTAAACATTTTAAAATACTTTAAATACAAAAAATTTTCATTTTTTAAATCTCCATCTAATAAAAAAGTAATATATTGGATGTTTCATATAAAAAATATATTTTAGAAAGTTTTGCGTAGAATCATCTAAAGTAAATACCTAATATAGTTTTGATTTCAGGACATTTCTAGTATTTTTAACATTTTTTTAAGAAAGTCTGAAAAATATATATTTTTTATTTATTTACTAATATCTCTAAAACTATCGAAATATATTTACTCAGATCTTAGTATCATGTAGAGTGATCTGAAAGAAAGTCAAAATGCAATAATATACAGGGTGTTCCATTTAATGTTTTAAAAAGTCATCTCGATCCACTCACATGTTTTTGAGTCACCCTATAGAAGTTAAAATATTTTCCTGAAATACATCCTCGTACGTACTGTAGCTTTGCACTTAAACAAAATTCTCAAATTGTTTTTTATGATCTAGAGATGCCCGACACACTACTGCCGGACCCTGTATGGATTGGTTTCCTTGACACTTGGTTGTTTTTGGTTGCTATATTTATAGAATATTATACCTACAATTTTATTCTTACAGATCAACTCACGAGATGAATCAGAGAAGACCGTCAAAGTTAGCTTACCAGATCAGGCCAGTACCACCGTGTACGTACGCGAATCCATGTCGGTAGAAGAGTTTTTAGCTAGTGCTTGTGCTAGGAAAAACTTGAACGCTTCGGAACATTTTATTCGAGTGAAAAAAAGAAAGGACATGGAGGATCATAATTATTTTGTCCCTCACCGTAGTGACCTTATTGAAACATACGTAAGTAAATTAAAGGAGTTTAACCATTTATTCGTATACATTTTTATGTGCCTGAATATACATATACAATAGGGTGAGCCAAAAAAACTAACCTATGGAATTTATGGGTTAAAATGTACCTAATAACCGAGAAAAAATTTCCCCGGAAGGCAGGATTTTTAGCTCAATTTTATAAGGTGTCGGTGAACATTCAAAGTTTCCCATTTAAATATCACGTAAAAAAATATTTTTCGACTATGAGTACCATAATTTTAAAACGGTTTAAGATGAAATTTTTTACATCGCGGATTCTTGTAGAGCATAAAATTTTCTAAAAAATTTATCTGAGAGTAATTTTTTTCAATTCAATAATTCCTATATTTGAAAGTTTTGAAAAGTGAAAAAATCAAAATATGCAGTTTTAGTGTTTATTGATTAAAAATTTTCATATTTAGCAAAAAAAACTAGATTACTCTCAGATAGATTTTTTAGGAAATTTTATGCTCTATAAAAGAATCCGCGATGTAATTTTTTTTATGGTAAACCGTTTCAAAGTTATGGTACTTTTAATGGAAAAATATTTTTTACGTCTTATTTAAATGAAAAACTTTGAATGTTCACCGACATCTTTTAAAATTGAGTTAAAAATCCTGCCTATCGGGAATATTTTTTTCGCAGTTATTAGGTTCATTTTAACCCATAAATTCCATAGATTAGTTTTTTTGGCTCACCCTAATATACAGTACGATCGACGTCAGCGGAAAAATGTCTTTGATACCGTTTTTTTATATACCATAATATGGTTATCATATCTTCATAAAAATTTTTGCTTGTCCTAAGATACCCGTCTATAATTTTCCAAAGTCCATACTGTTATACATTGTTTTAGGGAAAATTCCACACCTGTAATTTTTAACCAATCAAAACGTGTTTTTTTGACAAATCACCATGGCAACGGATAAATTTTAGTGAAAATTCCACACCTGTAATTTTTAACCAATCAAAACGTTTTTTTGAGAAATCACCATGGCAACGGATAAATTTTAGTGAATTTTTTTTCCTTGTGGGCATCCAACAGCGAATTATACTGGAAATTTTTTGACGTTTATAATGACAGAATATCTTTTTGAGAGTCTGGTTTTTATTTGTTTACATGATAATTTTGATACATTTTAATTACAAAGCTGAGATGAAAGTTTCTAAACTGCTTCCATACGCTTGACTTCGATTTTCTAGTATTCGCGGGTGTCAACTGCTTAATCTCGTGGTGAATATTTTCTTTGCTTTCATGACCGAAGCGAAACATTTCTTTTAAGCCGTGCCGCTTGACAGCTTCAAAACTGAAATAGTTTTAAGGTTTGGGTGTCACTTATTTGTCATAGTAACTAAATAATCAATTCGACCAAAAATCGAAAAATACATTTTAATTATTTGGTGCGGAATAATTTGGTGTGGAATTTTCTTACCGAATACCACACGAGGTCAAATTAAATCCGGACTAGTGGTATTACTAGTGAAAATTAAAAAGTACTATAAATCAAAACGCGTTTCTATGGTAATATAATTGCGCTTGTAATCCTGGATAAATTGTTATTGATAGAATTTTAACGCTTTGTTGTTTCAAAATGTTAAAGAAGTACAAAATTTATTTAGTTCAAAGCTACGGAAATGGTGATAATAATTACCGGAAAATGTCATATTTTAACAACAGCAAAAAGTAGGTATGAGGTTAATCAAAATTAATAATAAGCATCTATCAAAGAATTAAATCTGAATTATATTACCATAGAAAAGCCTTTTGATTTTGAGGACTTTCTTAGGAAAAAAATCAACAAAATTTTCATGTTTTTTTTTAAATTTTCTTTAAAGCGGTATAGAAATTTCGAAAAGTATAAACGGGATTAACCATTTTAGAACAAGCAATTTTTTTTAAGAATGCATTTTTATCAAAATGTCAATAATAAAAAAGTTTTTTTCTCTTGTAAAGACAATCCAGAGACATACTGTACAATTAAATTTTATTTTATTTATAGATTTTCAGCATAAATTCAAATATATATGACATACATACTTTAGGAATAATTTAATATTACTTCTATTCTTTCGTATTTAAAAAACTTTTAATTCCATAATAATTTTAATCTTATGCCAAGATCACTGCGGGTCTCTTTTTACAAGCCAACTTTAAATTCCTGAAGTTTTTTATCGTGAAAGACCACTACACTAAATTTTTATGTATAATTACACTCTGAAAAGTACGGATTTCCTACACTCTGCCGGTTTCCCTAATGAACATTTTAAAATTCTGAATACTGAAGTATAATAATTATATTTTTGTGCTTTCTAATAGGCATGGGGAGTATTTATGCCTTTAACCCATCTTGATATAATAAGATAAAATTTAAAATTAGTTTGTTTTTATATTAACAGGAATTAATTTTCTTCAATGATTCACTTAGTATGCGATAGGAGTTAATGTCCGTATCAACTTTAGAAAATGTAGCTTGTTTTGCCAAATTTTTGTTAACTATTATTGTCATATTGAAACATTTATTTGGCAAACTCTTTAATACTTAATGAGAATAGACTAATTATATTGTCATTAAGTGGTAAAATATCAATGTTGTAAGAAATACCGGGTCACTGTTATGTATGGAAACGGTGGAATATTAGGTAAAATATAGAAGGTACCGCAAAATGTTAAACACAAAAGTTATAGGATTTTTAAATATCTATTAGCGAGTAATAAATTTAAGTATACAGGGTCGGTCATAAAGTCGTGGCACATCAAAATATTATTTTTTTAAATGGCACTCCTTGTATAGTATTGCATATTTCAATTATTCCTTCAATTCTAAGCAAAAATCGAAATACATACAATGTACCTCAAACCAACCGTTTATTGGCTTACATAACATATCACTTAAATAATTTTATTTAATTAATTTCGATATGTTTAGTTTCATTTAACGATGCCATTCTGCCGAAACTGCGATACTTAATAATATTTGACATTAGTTCTCATTAATCTCACAAGTTAGCATTTATAGATGTATATAATGAGATTATATCAAAATGTCAATAATAGGAAATTACAAAATTTTCGTTTAACTTTTTAATTCTTCAATTTATGTACATTGTTATTACGATTCTTGCTTAAAATTGAAGCAAGAATTGAAATATGCAATAATATACGGGGCGTTCTATTTAAAAAAATGAAGCTTTGATGTGCCACTACTTTATGACCGACTCTGTATACATAAATTTATTATACGCCAATAGAGATTTAAAAACCCTATATTTTTTGTATTTAACTTTTTGCGGTAGCTTGTATATTTACCTAATAATTGACCGTTTCCATACGTAAAAGCGACCCTGTATAATAAAGAATTAGTAAAAAAATATATATCAAAGAAGTTATGGTTTAGTTAGGTTAGGTTCAAGGTTATTAAAAGACAAGGTTGTCTCGTAACTTTTGGACCAATAGGAGCGAAGCTGCAACTACGTCACAGGGATGCTACAGAACGTATAAAATAAGGGGGGATAAAGGAATAAAAAATAAAATGCAACCGACAAAGAGAGATAAATGAACAATTCAATAAAGAAAACACACATGAAACAACTGAAAACTATTGACGCCATACACTATAAACAATAAAGTACACAATGAATATCGATTCGGAAATGTACTGTCGGACTGTGGGCAGTTTTTATCCCTTTATCTATGAGTGGTGTCATTCCTATGACGTAGTAGATGACATTTTCGATAATGGCGGAGGCGGATCGAGTTAGGAGATAACCTTATCTTTTAATAATCTTGGGTTAGGTTAGGTTAGGTTAGGTTAGGTTGACAAGTTAGTTTACAAGGTTATTGATTATCCGATCGGATATGCTAATTATCGATTAATCGATAATTAGGATATCCAATTAGATATTTGTATTAGAATTTTTTTTCTAAGTTAGACTGAACCCATGATGCACAGTGTCACAAATAAAGTCCGTTCCATATGCAACTTTTTTTATGTACCTGATGATGTTCCTATGATTTAAGCGAAATTTGACTTTAGCTATAGTTTCTACTTCGATTTACATTAAAAATTACATCTGAGAATATCGCCTGTTGCCCTCGGGTATTTCTCAATTTGACATTAAGTAATAAATAGCTAAAAATTGTTTTTTCGACCGAATTTCGAAAAATTTGTTTCTTTTTGAAGTAAAACTTTTTTACTCGCGATGGGAGTTAAAATCAAAGGCCGCGACTCGGCCTTGAATGACGGCTGCGAGACGGCAATGACCTTGGCAAGGTCATGTAAAGCATTACGCCACAGTCGAATATTTATATACAAAAATTCTATCTTCTTAAAAATATATAAATATATCATTATATGATCACCATAATTTATTATGTAACAAGAAATGTCAAATTTTTAACTGGGCCGTTTTTGCAGAACAGCATTATCAATATACTAATTTATTTACCACTACCGATTTTCTACTGTTTTATTGTTAGAAACTTTTTGACAGTTACAGCAGGTAGGATTAAAACTTGATATAATAATTTTGATACCCTTGTAATGAGTGGCAAGATATATGGCACAACTAAGCCATGTTACCCATCTCCTTAATACTGGTTTGAATGACAAAGAGATATTCAGAAGCAGCTCATACAGCTGTGCCTGCCTTGTTGTTTAAAATCTATATTTTTATGGTGTACTGAAATTGCTACGTTGGCAATAAGTGACCGTTATCTAAATAAAAAAATATTATAATTAACTGGGAACCGTGAAGAACACCCCCCCCCCCCATTTATTTTGACGCAGAATGTTTCAAAAAACATCATGTGCTTTTAGTAATTCCAATGAAATTTTGAGGTAAAGGTTAGTAGTAACTAACCTTCTACATGTTGTAGTGCTAAAAAAGTGTGGTAATCACTGAATTATTTTGAAAAAGCATGTTAGCGAAATTTTATAGGCTGTTTACAGCCGATTAAAAATTATATTGTTGATTGAAGAAATAAGATG